AAATACACCACATGTATTAAATTATAATGACAATAATCATGGTTTAATTGAAATCAATTTTATTCAATATTACTATAAAGAAAAATCAGACATTCCCAAGTTTACTCAAATACATAGTGAAACATCAGAAACTTTAAAACATTCCCTTTCCTCGTTTAACGCCACAGTAACAGAACTTGAAAACCTTCAATCCACAAGATTGGAATTGGGTGATTGGCTGGCATCCCAATTCGAAATATTTGATAATGGACATTTTGGTTCAAAAAAAAAGAAGATTTGTTGGATGAATTAATCAAACTACAACGTCAAGTTTATGGATTAGGAAAATCCAAAAAATACATGAAAATATTGGTAATAGCTGATGAATTGAGGTAACTTACATATTAGTATAAATATAAATATATGCTGTAGAGATAGATAGATATAGAGCTGTACTAATTTTGAGTCAAATTGAATTTGATCATTTATACCAATCAAGCAAAACAATTGGTCGAAAAGTCTCCACAAAAAGCACTTGTACCTTACACTCAACTTATGCAACTTGCACATAAGATTAAATATAAAAATGAACAAGTGGGTTACTCAATAAAAAATTTAGATGCTTTTTTGCAACAAAATGTTGATGCTTTATGGGATGATATGAAGAGTAGATTATCAAAGTGCGTTTTTAATTTATTTATTATTTTATTAAAAAAGAATTCCACTTTTATCACAATATAAATGAAAAGTTTTTACATATATTAATTTAGAAAATTTCAACAAACACTTGATTCACTTAACTGGCCTACTCCAATATATTTATCTGATAATTCAATCACCTCTGATAATTTATCAGCATTTATCAATGCTTTTATGGATTTACTTATATTACAACAACCAATTGAGTCGATGACTGATCCAAAGTATTTAGAGCCAGGCTCTTCTTCTTCTAAAGAAAACAGCAACAGTACCAATAATAGTAAGGCAGAAGGACCTCCACCTCTTATACCAATTCAAATAAT